GCACCATCAATATAAGAGCTTTAGATATACGAATTTTCTTACAATCTTCGTCCGCCTGTACCTGTACGGTTACTTATAGTGTTTAAAGAATCATTAGAGTAGTAGTCATTAGCGTCTAGACACATAGCACAGCCGTGAGCAGCCGCTGGAACAATGTTGATCAATGTGTCCGCAGGGATTACTGTACATGGCGCTGTAATTTCTACACGAAAGACCTCTAGTAAAACCGATTTCCTGTACTACAAGACGTCCTCCAAAGTCATCAGATTGGTAGCCGTTAGCGGCTAGATACATAGCACAACAGTGAGCAGTTGCTTTAACAATGTTGTACAGTGTTTCCGCGGAGAATGCTTCACGTGCCGCTCTAATTTTTTGATGAAGGACCTTTTGCATCGATTTCCTGTACTACACGATGTCCTTCAAAATCGTCAGAGTGATAGCCATTAGCGGCTAGACACACAGCACAACAGTGAGCAGTCCCTTGAACAGTGTTGGTCAGTGTGTCCGCGGGGATTGCTGTGACGAAGGAGCTCAAGTAAGAACGTACTATTTCCTGTGCTACATGACGTCCTTCAAAGTCCCAGTCAGACCAGTTTCATAATAATCCCGGTATCCTCCGCTACTCCCCCTCTCGAGAAAACACACATTTTATTACCGTAACACTAATACTCACAGAGACATACTCCTTCAAATTAATCATCTTAATACCCATAAAACTCATTAAAAATACATTACTTTAATTACCCATGTATTTTAATAAATTGCTTATTTTATAATTATAAAAAATTTTCAGTGTGCTTTGGTTAATGAAACACTACATTCTTAAATGAGCACACAAATTTTATAACTAAAAATCATTTATAGTGTTTTACCTAAACAACAATTTATATATGCATTTCCAATTCAAAGTAACTGAATTAATTTCTTTAAATTTCTTAAAACAGACATACTTGATGTGGAAGCCAATAACCAAACTTGTATCGAGCGCATTTATCTAATTGAATTAATTGTCTTCTACATCTCTCCCTACGTAATATAAATCAAAGCATAGAAATACGACGTAGATAAACAAACATCTCTCCCAACGTAATATAAATCAAAGCATAGAAATACGACGTAAGATAATAAACAAATCGTATAAGTAAATGAAAGTACATTCCGGTAAACATCACGTGACTACGTTCTGGTAAATATTACGTGACTTTCATAATAACGCACTAGTTTCGAAGGGTTGGAGTGTTGAATGTTTTAAGCACTTAATTAAATAACGTTATTAAAAACATGCTGAAATAATTTTTAAGTATGGGAATGCCCGCCTTTAAAACACGTTTTTCCACTTATAGATTCTAGGTAGAAAGCGTCAGCGTGCAATGTTTTTTGTTGGATGTAAAATAAAATTGGTAGGCATGGCGTTTAACGAATTTAGAATTCCAAATGAAAATAAACGTTCTTATTTTAATTCTGTACTATGCATTACATTAGAGCTTTAATCTGCGTCATTAGCGTTATACAAGAATCATATGACATGATTTAATTCCGAAATAACGCAGCTAAAAGCGATTAATTATAGGAAGTTACTATCTTTAGGACAGAAGGATGAAATAGCCAAATTAAAAATGAGAGTTAACATACTATTGTAGATTCAAGTTAGTACTTTGATTACTTTGATTTATATATATTATTTGTAAATGGTGAATAAATAAAAGTAAAATTTCAAGCGGATTGTATTTATGAAAACATAATTATTGAATAATGAAGAACAGTGAAAAATAAAAGATCACCAAGGCAACGCACGATCACCAAGGCAACAGACGATCTTTTTCTACTCTTGCTATAGCTCGAGCAAGTTAATTTGTATCTGCTTGTGGTTGCCATCTTTTAATTTTGAAAATACGGCCTAAACAATATCATGCATACATACATGCATGCATACTTCTCACATGTTCTATTGTGGAAAAATAGTGGCACCTAGGGCCACCAAACGTTTTACATACGTAGTCCTCCACACGAACATGTGCACCTAGAAGCCGAATTTTAAATTTCGAGTTTGATTTTTATTTATTTCATATTCTTTGCGAATTTAATGAAATTTTGATTAACTAACACCAGATTTAAAAGTTATGTGTTGCTACTCGGCAAAATGTAAGATATTTATTTATATTTCAAAAGACATCAGAAACCTCGGCTGTTTAAAAGAAATATGCGAATAAGATATTTAACTTTTAAATTTAATCAACAAACTCAGCGATTTAAAAGAAATGTCTTGCCACTGAATGAAATGAAATACTTTTTATTTTCCGGGGGGATGCAGTGTGGTATCATTCAGTAGAGTGGGGTCAGACCTTTCAAATTTTACGAACGACTCAGGTATATAAAAGCTATACTTCTACTACTGGAAAATAAAACACATTTTTTCCTCCATGCGCCAGTGTTTTGCCATTTGGCAAAGCGTAAGATACTTACTTATTTTTCAAATTTTATTAACAAACTCGGGTATTTAAAAGCAATGCGTTGTCACTGTCAAAGTATCTTACCTGCTTTTATATTAAATTTGCAAAAGTGTTGCCATTCGACAAAGCATAAAATATTTCACTTTTTCTTTCATATATAATCTTATATCTTATCTTTAGAGACATTAGGTATTTTTGAAGCAGATTAATGAAAAATAAGCAATGCCCTCGCCGAGACTCGAACTACAGACCTGTCGAATACGCGTTGAGCGTGCTGACCACTACACCACAAAGGCATACTAAGAAGACGGGGAAAATACCTTACATACTCCCCCTTTTAAAAGGCGGCTGGAAATTAGAAGACCCAATCGCCAAATCCTGATGATGGATAATCATCATCCACCACTTTTTTTTAGTTCGGGCGACAGTGTAGAGACATTAGATATTTTTGAAGTAGGAAAGATGAAAAATGAGCAATGCCCTCGCCGGGACTCGAACCACGGACCTCTCGAATGCGTGTCGAGCGGGCTGACCACTACACCCCGAAGGAATGCTAAGAAGGAGGGAGAGACACCTTATACACCATTAGGTCTTTCTTTTTTATGCTGGGAGAGATGAAAAATAAGCAATTTCATTGCCGGGACTCGAACCACGGACCTTTCGAATACGCGTCGAGCGTGTTGACACCATGTAGGCATGGTAAGAAGGCGGGAGAAATACCTTATAATCTGTCCGTTATTGATTAACATACTAAACGATTTCCAAACAATAAATGCGGTTCTCAATAATCCTTTTTTTAACTTTTAATCTGATTGATTTAAATAAAAATGCATTTAATTCATGATACAGCTAACTAAAAATAATAAATACTGTTATGAAACTATACTAGGTAAACTCATAAAAATCATCGCATTTTTTTTTTTTTTTTTTTTTTTTTTTTTAAGTGTTAAATAGTTTAGGCGGTTAGCCGCGCAAGCGACTAGTTATTAAAACAGATAAATTAAAAATTATTTCTACAAGAAAATTCATTTATTGCTTTTAGATCACCCAGTTTGTTAACAGATCACCCAGTTTGTTAATCATTAACAGATTGATAAAAATTGAATAATAAAGACCATCTAACTCTTTGTCAGATGGTCTCACTCTGAGAATCCGTTATCCACGAAGACATTTGGAAGGTAAATCTTTTTACGCATAGGTGATATGCGTGAAGAAAGCTAATTATGAAGTAAATTAAAATTACGAAGTTCTGAGTTGGTTATTATTTTAGTGGTATGTAAAGTAATTCTTCACCACTAACCACCAAAATAATAACCGATTCTGTTATATAATAGAGTGAAACTTTCCGTATAAGTAGAAAAAGTAGAACATTACAGACTTAGTACAGCAAATAATAATATAAGCAATAATAAATATAACGCATGAAATTCAATTTGAACATACTGAATAAAAACGTCAATGTATTATGCCATGCAATACATTATGTTTTAAAGAATAAACATGTAAAATTTTGTGCTTTATGCGTATTAAAAATATTTTTGCATAAGCCTTAGCAAATTTTTAAACCTAAAAATATAAAAAATAAAAAAATTATTCCAAATAAAAACAAATTACTAGCTTCAGATAAATTAGCAAAAAAACTGTAAAAATGTATATGTCATACAAACGCGATTGATATAAAACCGAAACATTTTTCCTTGATCTAAAACAGCGATAATAATAGTAGTATTACTTGAAAATGTACTAGTATTACTTGGCAAATATTCAATAATATATGCAAATATTCAAGCGAAATACTATATGTATTAATATAAAAAAACTATGTGTCAATAGACTATCATATTTTTCATACTCAGTTTTACAGCCTGTACTTCGTAAATGCTAAATGTTTGATTTTTCTAACAAAAATTTACATGCAAAATATGTTTTTTTAATTCTAAGCATTATTTGATTTTGCCTGATTATTATCTTTATTACTTAATTAAAAAAAAGAGTTCAGATTATACCCGTTTAAAAATCGCTCTCGCTTAAAATATTTATTTGACATAGTCACACTCATAACTTCTTAAAACGTTTACTTTTCTGAAGAAAAATTCCCGTTTAAAATATTTTTTAAATTATTTACTGAAGTAATTTTGAATTGAGTTCGAGTATTAGTCGATCTTCCTGAAAAAACAATATTCCTTTGAAAGCAGTGAGTAATCGATAATTTACAGGAATATAACAGTAAATTCTACTATATGATTATATATTCTCCAAATTTATAAAATTCAGAATACGATTAAGAAGCCATAAATTTAAATGCTAAGCGATTTCTTGCAATATTTTTTTCTGATTCTATAGTAAAATGCATGGCAACACATTCTGCAGATTTTTACAAGTTATCGAAATAGCATAAAAAATGACCAGTTCATGCAATAATAATACGCGAAAAAGAATTCTAAATCTTAAGAGTTTTTAGTTTCTGAAATTCATAATAAATACTAAACGATAGCAAATGAAAATATAATATTTTAGTTCTGTTATAAAATTCTCTACTCATGTACGTACCTGTTATTTATTACGATCCGCTATTATTAATAGCTTGCTGGATTTGCTCTTAACTTGGCTGAGAATTCCACGTGGAATATTTAAGGTAATATCCTGAATAGCAACCTGCAAGCTAGTTTTCCCTTTACCTTTTCACTCGTTATTATACACATCTGGTAAAACAGAACAGCATACCAGGCCTGGAAAGAATAATTGTTACGTCAGCAATACGGATTGTCGGTCGCCAATGGTGGACGAGATTGGCGAAGGTGTGTCTTACAGCTGTTTGAATGGCGCGCATCCATGATGGAGCCGCCAGTGAATGATTCCGAGAAAGAGTTAATTTTTCATTCAGAGCTTAATTAAAAAGAAAGAAGCTGGACGATAAGATCTTATCCATAAGAGCCTTTAGAAGTTAACGGATTTGTTTTAAGCCAGTGAATAGTTTATCTCTACTTTCAATTTAAAGATTCAGTTTACGTTTCAAAAGCTTCTTCCGGTTTCTGTTACGTAAAATCAATAACAGACATGCTTAGCGAAGCCTAGTCTACTAAATATTTGCGCATTAAGACAAACGATACTAAAATATAGTTGTTTAATGGACTTCGATTTATTTAAAAATTTTTTTAAAAATATCTCATTTTTAATGCAAAATTTATTCTTAAATTACGCTCAAAAAATTAAATTTGATATTAAAATAGCATAGAAAATATATTACGGACCACTAATATGAAATTAATCATTCACACGTGTTTTAAATTTTATATTTTGCTATAAATTGATTAATATTTTTACCAGTTTATTAATCTAATCAAATTTCTTAGCTAATATTTATAATTAATAAGGTGTGTTCTTAGTAGGATGACCAGATGTTTTTAACTCTCAATCCGGAGTACGCAAAAACTAAATTTGATAATTAAATTTAATTGGTTAATTTAATTAAAAATGGTCTTTAGCTTATATTTGAAAGTCTGTATATTTAAAGTATGAAATGTGGGATCAAAAAGTGAAAGTAATTGTTTTAATAATAGGGTTTTTAACTCTATTATTAAAACCAGATGTTTTTAACTCTCAATCCGGAGTACGCAAAAACTAAATTTGATAATTAAATTTAATTGGTTAATTTAATTAAAAATGGTCTTTAGCTTATATTTGAAAGTCTGTATATTTAAAGTATGAAATGTGGGATCAAAAAGTGAAAATAATTGTTTTAATAATAGGGAAAATTTATTCATAAGTGTATAATCACTAAAAAAAAATTAAATCGAATGTTATGAAGAAAAATTGTAAAGCTGTCTGTTTTAGAGATTTATAGGTCGTGATACACGAGTATCACGACCTATAAATATATATATATTAGTTATATATATTAGTTGATAATTTTTCAGGGTAAATATTTCTTCATTAGAAAGATTATGCAGCATAGTTTGGCAACACTTCTTACTCTGACAAGATTTTACTTTTACGTAAGGAAGACAACAACTGTCACTTTACGGTGTTGATACTAAATAATTGAATTTTACACGCTGTTACTATCACCTCAAGTGACTCCGGTTTAGAGAAGCCTTACATAGAAAAATAAATTCTAACGGATTTTTAAAATAAATTATAATGCAGGATTCTAACGGATTTTAAAATAAATATATATTTTTAAGCAGTTTCCTTAACAAATCGTATTTCACCAGTATTGGATAATACAAACTACCAAAATGAATTCGAGAGAATACTTTAAAAGTTTTTACTTAAAACATAAACGTTGCCACTTTTTTAACACTATTATTGTCTTCAGCCAGCGGGTTAGTTCGTCTCCTGGCAAAATAAAATGTGCTGCTCCCTGAAGGAAATATTTATTGCAAAACGCATGAGCAAGATATACAGTGAAATAAATGCGCGTTTAAGGCCTGATTTATTAAACCTTTATTTTTTATTTAAGTGCATAAATCTCTGTGTAATGAAATAATATCGAAGGAATACTTTTCCCCCTGCTATATGGCTTTGCTATATTGAAGAGTGCATTATAAACACAAAATTTTATATTCTGGGTATGTAATTTCTGGAGGGAGGGTCTAATTCTTAAAACAGAAACCGTTAAAGGAATGAATTTAGCTGTGGACAACAATTATTTTCGTTTCTTTCTTTCAATAATCATTTTTTTTTTCAAATACCTACTTAGCTTGTAAGTACTCAGAGAAACGTTACCCAGATACAGATAACACGGCCTGATCAGAATTTTTGCCATCACTTGAATATGGGTAACGTGGCAGTTAAAATGTTAAATACACAGAAAGCACTACTTGTGCGTCAGACGAACTTCAGTTACTTGCGGAATTTAAATTAACATAAGATAACATTAAATTCAAATGTATGCGTAGCCTGAGAATACAACACGAAATATTCTACTAAGGTGGCTCAAAACAATTACGGTGCGTATTAAGCGTCGGCTAGCGAAGCTTAAACTCTAAACATTCAAACCCTTGGCTTAAATATACAAACAATAAATTTATATTATGGTGTGGACAACAAAAGGAAAACGTTATAGTAAAGATTAACATCATAATAACTAGTTAATTGAGGTAAAACTTTAATTCATTTTTAAGATTTTTAAACTTTTGTCGCTTATATTTTAGTTTGTATATTTCACCTACCTTACCTTAATTTCTGTCGCTTTCTTATTTCCGACATTAATTTTTCATTTCTATGATTTTTATTTAATTTAATTCTAGAAGAAATTTGTAATTTCCTTCGTATTTCATCCTTATCAAAATTCCTATATATTCAGACTCATTTCAGATAACTCCTGATCATAATGATTCTCTTTATTGTCATGGCATTTACCATTCCATTATTGCATTTAATTTTAAGCAGAATTTTAAATTTATTTCGCATGTTTAACCTTTGTAATTTCCTAATTATTCCGATATTTTTATATTAAGTAATTAGTTTTATGCCTATAATTGTTTTTCATAACTATTTTTTTTATTTTTAGTCATCCTTACTAAGCTTATATTTAAAGTTCTATAATAATTTACTTGTTTTTTTTCTTTCATTCTGCAATAATTCATGTATTCGTAATACTTACCCCTATTATTGGGTTGGCAAGAAAGTAATTTCGTTTTGCGTCAATAGATGGCATTTTGTTGAGTGTTTTATTCTTATGTTAATCTTATATATATATTTCTCTTTCAAGAATTCGGCAGCAGACACTTTTAAGTTTGTAAGAGAAATAAATTCCGTGATTTTTATTTACGGCCAGTTTTAACATAGGGTGCAAAAATAACATTTCCGACATATTTTATTTTTTTATTTTCATAAGGGCAAATAGGCAGCTGAGACTCACAAAGAAATATGCAAAGTTTATTGTCTTGATTGCTTAAAAGAACGCATGCGTCAGAATACTTTCTAAATATTTCGTTCAGGAGAGTTTTCACTTGATGATGATCAACGTTCTGGCCGATCTTCTGAAACTGATGATGACAAATTTAAAGTCATAAATTAACCAAATCGTTATATATCTTATAACGGTACAAGAGAATGGAAAAAGGTTGAATGTATCAAACACAACAACTGAAAATCACATCAGATGGCTTGAATTGATTAAGAAACTCGATATTTAGGTTTCGAAGGAACTGAAAGAAATTCACTTATCACAACGAATTAATATTTGCGATATGCATTTCAAACGCGATGTAATCGAACCTTTTTTTTGAAACAAATTACCACTGATGATTAGAAGTGGATTGTCTGCAATAACATTAATCGAAAAATATCATTGTCGAAGCATGAGGAATCATACCAAATGCTAAATAGCATCAGAAAAAGATCATGCTGTCAATTTGTTAGAATTACAAAGGTGTTTTTATTTATTTTTTTTTTATTTATTTATTTTGAGTGGCTTCCAAGCAACCAAATGATCAACTTAAATGTTTACTGCCAGCAACTTATGAAACTGGAAGAAACATTCAAAGAGAAAAAGCCAGAATTGGCAAATGGCAAAGGAATCGTATTCCATCACGACAATCCGAGGCCTCACACATTTTTAGCAACAGGTACGAAATTACTACAGCTTGATTGGGAAGTGATGTCACATCCCCATATAGCCCCCAACTCATACCATCGGATTATCTATTTCGAAGTTTACAAAACTTCTTAGATAGTAAAAATTCCAATAGTAACGATGGCCTCAAATAGCAATTTGTTGAGTTTTTTTGCTGATAAAAATCTATCTATAAGTTCTATGACAGCGGAATCATGAAGTTACCAGAAAGATTACAAAAGATCATCGAACAGAATGGAAGATATTTAAATGATTGAGTTTTTTTTATGATAAAAATCAGAAGTTCTATGAGAGCGGAATTGTGAAGTTACCAGAAAGATTATAAAATGTCATCGAACAGAATGGAAGATATTTAAATGATTAAAGTACATTATTTGTATAGAAAATATCTGATGTGGAGACCACGTGGCTTCTTTGAACACATTTTTTGCGACACTTCATTTCAACTTATTTCCTCGAATTTCATTCGAGATGTATTTCTCTTTCAATCAACCAACTTTTGGTTGCTTTTGCTGCAATTGAAAGTTAAAGTTTCGTCACACTGATCAAAAGACACTGAAACTGATGCACCAAATGACTTAATTCACAATTCTTCTAAGAGTTTCAAATGTAAACAAAAGGCATCCTCGTAAGACCTAGCACCACTTTTAAATTGTTCATAATTCTACAACCATTGCATACAGATTAGCTAAAGGCATAAAAACCTTAACCGGAATATAAAAACAACATAATTCAATCACTTTTAAAGCAACAGAGTGCATAATTTATAAACCTGTTGTAGAGTCATTAGGTTATTTTTAAGCAGAAGACATGAAAAATGAGCAATGGCCTCTCTGGAACTCGAACCCAGACCTCGCCGAGTGTGCTACCTTTACATCGCGAAGGCATGCTGGAAGGAGGGAGAAAATAACTTATAATATAAGCATAAAATTACTGAGCACACCGAACCAGGTAACAATGTGGGAATATATATATATATATATATAGTGCAGCCAATTACGACGAAAAAGGGATGTGCAAAACTGCATTTTATAGCAGTTCTATGTAAAAAATTTCAACGTTCTACGACTATTCGTTTTTGAGTTGTGCTACATAAATACGTACGTACGTACAGATGTCACGAAAAAAAAACCTCTTCTGAATCCAAGTTAAATCCATTTTGCAATCGGTTTTGGAAAAAAAGAGTCCTTTATTCTGTCCGTACGTACAGATTTCACGCATAAAAAATCATTCAGATGGGTTCGAAAGCGGTCAGAATGGATATTTTCATTGAGATACCAGAAATGTTTCGTAATTATAATACTTCCTTTGTAGGGTTTCCCTTAGTTTGGTAACCAATT